GGAGGGCTGGAGGGAGGCGTGGAGGGGTGGAGGGCTGGAGGAAGGGGTGGAGGGGTGGAGGGAGGGAGGGAGGGAGGGGTGGAGGGGTGAAGGGAGGGAGGGAGGGATGAAGGGGTGAAGGACGGAGGGCTGGAGGGGTGGAGGGGTCTCCCTTGGGGAGGACCTGAGGGTGGGGAATCCGTGCCAGGACTGGCACCCGGGGCATATCTGGGGGACGCAGACACACGGGGGTCCCCCGAAGAGGTACCTGGGGCACAGAACATGGCAAAGCACTGACTGACTGCACCAGGCAGGACAACCATGGGCGTCAGTGCGGAGCTGTGCCCCGAGGGTCAAGGGGGTCAGCACCAGCAGGGTCACACCCGTGTTACTTCATTTAACCGTCACCCCACCGCAAACACCCGGGGTTATGATGCCCATTTCACAGATGAGGTGGCTGAGGCTCAGGGTGGCGAGCCCCCTGCCAAGTGCTAGGGCTCAGAGCCAGGTCCCTGCGCCTCCCACAGTCTATGTACCTGGATCCCCTCAATGCGCTCGGTGACGACGTAGGCATGGTGCATGGCCACCAGCGGGACCTTGACTCCGGCCATCCGGCCCACAGCGCTGGCCCACACTCCTGCGGGCAGAGCAGGGATAGGTCAGCACTGCTGTGCCTGGAGGGGCGGCCGGCCAGGTGGGGTGGGGCGCCTGTGCAGGCACCTCTGTCCCGGGGCGATTCCTCTACATCACACCCAGGCCCCTCCCCGCAACCCCCCCCCCCCCCCCAGAGAAAGGCCCGGCTGAGGGAGCAGCCAGCGTGGCCACCCGAGAGCCAGGGGACAGTCCTGCTCACCTGCACAATTGACCACGCAGGGCGTCTGGATGGAGCCGTGCTCTGTCTCCACGGCTGCGACCCGCCGCACCCCGAAGTCATCGGTCCGCACACGGATGCCGGTCACGGGGCAGTTCTCGATGACCTGGGGGCGAGAGGGGCTGCTTCCAGAGCCATGCAGGGCTCCCCGAGGGTGCTGATCACCCCTGATGTCCCCCCGCCTCGCCTGGACGGGACCTGGGGCACCGTCAGGGAAGTGGGGAGACCATGGCGCTGGAAACTAGCCCCAGGAGCTCCTTGACTTAGGGAACTTGATCCCAGACCCGGGCTCTTTCTCACAAAGTGGCTTTTAAAATTTTTTTTTTCAACGTTTATTTATTTTTGGGACAGAGAGAGACAGAGCATGAATGGGGGAGGGGCAGAGAGAGAGGGAGACACAGAATCGGAAACAGGCTCCAGGCTCTGAGCCATCAGCCCAGAGCCCGACGCGGGGCTCGAACTCCCGGACCGCGAGATCGTGACCTGGCTGAAGTCGGACGCTTAACCGACTGCGCCACCCAGGCGCCCCACAAAGTGGCTTTTAAAAAGCAAGGCTCGAGTCGCTAACAGGTGTCTGTGGTCTAGTCCTTCGGTAAAAAGGTCACCCATC